AAGAGTAATCTACATTCCAGAGTTTCTTGCAATTTGTGTGGATTATTACAGCCTGCAGAACATTTGCTGAAGGTCTGTGGAAAGCTGGCTGCTCAAAGGCTACAAGCTCCTCTTCTTTTTCCAGCCAGTAAATTTTAATTTCAATGCACTAGAGACTTAGGTATAATTACTTTGCTATGGCAGCAATTGTTCTTCTTACCAAAAAGACTGCAGTTGCGAATGACAGGAGATGTTGCCCAAGCAAATGTGAATAAAAGGGTTTCCATTGCCACAGGACAATTTGTATTTAAAATGTTGTCCGCACTATGAACAAGTTTGAGACTCTCAACACATGTGCACACACAATACTGCTGCAAATGTGAACATCAACACTTCACAGCCTTTTGCCCCATGATCTGGGCTGCCCATAAAGTATCCCATGTAATAAAACAGACTTTTTACAGAGAGTAAAATCAATGGCCTCTTTCCATTCAGAAAGTGTTGTCAAATCCAGATTTCAGAGTAGCAGCCGTGTTAGTCTGTATTTGCAAAAAGAAAAAGGAGTACTTGTGGCACCTGGGAGGCTAACAAATTTATCTGAGCATAAGCTTCCGTGAGCTACACCTCACTTCTTTGGATGCATTAAGTGGAAAATACAGTGAGGAGATTTATATACACAGAGAACATGAAACAATGGGTGTTACCATACACACTGTAACAAGAGAGTGATCACTTAAGGTGAGCTATTACCAGCAGGAGAGCAGGGGGACGGGGGGGGGGGGGACTTTTTGTAGTGATTATCAAGGTGGGCCATTTCCAGCAGTTGACAAGAACGTCTGAGGAACGGTGGGGGGGGTGCGGGAAATAAACATGGGGAAATAGTTTTACTTTGTGTAATGACCCATCCACTCCCAGTCTCTATTCAAGCCTAAGTTAATTGTATCCAGTTTGCAAATTAATTCCAATTCAGCAGTCTCTCGTTGGAGTCTGTTTCTGAAGTTTTTTTTGTTGAAGAATTGCAACTTTTAGGTCTGTAATCGAGTGACCAAAGAGTTTGAAGTGTTCTCCGACTGGTTTTTGAATGTTATAATTCTTGACGTCTGATTTGTGTCCATTTATTCTTTTATGTAGAGACTGTCCAGTTTGGCCAATGTACATGGCAGAGGGGCATTGCTGGCACATGAGGTCATATATCACATTGGCAGATGTGCAGGTGAACGAGCCTCTGATAGTGTGGCTGATGCGATTAGGCCCTATGATGGTGTCCACTGAATAGATATGTGGACACAGTTGCAACGAGCAAGGTTCCTGGGTTAGTGGTTCTGTTGTGTGGTTGCTGGTGAGTATTTGCTTCAGGTTGGGGGGCTGTCCATAAGCAAGGATTGGCCTGTCTCCCAAGGTCTGTGATGTAGATCTAGGTTGTAGATCCTTGATGATGCGTTGGAGAGGTTTTAGTTGGGGGCTGAAGGTGATGGCTAGTGGTATTCTGTTATTTTCTTTGTTGGGCCTGTCCAGTAGTAGGTGACTTCTGGGTACTCTTCTGGCTCTGTCAGTTTAGCCGTATGGAGTGGAAATCTATCAGCTTCATGAAAAAACTCATACAGATACAGACATCATCTTCCTTTCCAGATGCAAACAGATGAACATCATCATACCAAAAGGACTGAAGGTAAAAAGTCCATTACAATCTACATACCACACAGACTATGCCAACAGCTTGTGCCACACGCTCTCAAAGAAACTGCGGAACCACCTGATCAACATCCTCTACAGCAAACAGAGAAAGATTAAGAATGAGCTCTCAAAACTGGATAGTCCCATAAAAAACCAACCTTCCACACAAACTTCCTCGTGGCTGGAGTTTACCAAAACTAGACAAGCCATTTACAACACACACTTTGCTTCCCTACAAAAGAAAAAGGACACTAAACTACTACATGCCACAAGGGGCCACAACAGTGGTTCCCTTAACCCACCCAGCAATATTGTTAATCTATCCAACTATACTCTTAGCCCAGCAGAAGAATCTGTCGTATCTCAGGGCCTCTCCTTCTGCCCCTCCACCCCCACGAACGTGATACAGTTCTGTGGTGACCTAGAATCCTATTTTCGACGTCTCCGACTCAAGGAATATTTCCAACACACCTCTGAACAACATACTAACCCTCAGAGACCTTCCTACCAAGACTACAAAAAGAAGGATTCTGGGTGGACTCCTCCTGAAGGTCGAAACAGACTGGACTTCTACATAGAGTGCTTCCACTGACGTGCATGGGCTGAAATTGCGGAAAAGCAGCATCACTTGCCCCATAACCTCAGCCGTGCAGAACACAATGCCATCCACAGCCTCAGAAACAGCTCTGACGTCATAATCAAAAAGGCTGACAAAGGAGGTGCTGTCATCATCATGAATTGGTCGGAATATGAACAAGAGGCTGCTAGGCAGCTCTCCAACACCACTTTCTACAAGCCATTACCCTCTGATCCCACTGAGGGTTACCAAAAGAAACTACAGCATTTGCTCAAGAAACTCCCTGGAAAAGCACAAGAACAAATCCACACAGACACACCCCTGGAACTCCGACCTAGGGTATTCTATCTGCTACCTAAGATCCATAAACCCGGAAATCCTGGAAGCCCCATCATCTCCAGCATTGGCACCCTGACAGCAGGATTGTCTGGCTATGAAGACTCCCTCCTCAGGCCCTACGCTACCAGCACTCCCAGCTATCTTCGAGACACCACTGACTTCCTGAGGAAACTACAATCCATCGGTGATCTTCCTGAAAACACCATCCTGGCCACTATGGATGTAGAAGCCCTCTACACCAACATTCCACACAAAGATGGACTACAGGCTGTCAGGAACAGTATCCCTGATAACGTCACGGCAAACCTGGTGGCTGAACTTTGTGACTTTGTCCTCACTCATAACTATTTCACATTTGGGGACAATGTATACCTTCAAATCAGCGGCACTGCTATGGGTACCCGCATGGCCATACAGTATGCCAACATTTTTATGGCTGACTTAGAACAACGCTTCCTCAGCTCTCGTCCCCTAATGCCCCTACTCTACTTGTGTTACATTGATGACATCTTCATCATCTGGACCCATGCAAAAGAAGCCCTTGAGGAATTCCACCATGATTTCAACAATTTCCATCCCACCATCAACCTCAGCCTGGTCCAGTCCACACAAGAGATCCACTTCCTGGACACTACGGTGCTAATAAGCGATGGTCACATAAACACCACCCTATTCCGGAAACCTACTGATTGCTATTCCTACCTACATGCCTCCAGCTTTCATCCAGACCACACCACACGATCCATTGTCTACAGCCAAGCTCTACGATACAACCGCATTTGCTCCAACCCCTCAGACAGAGACAAACACCTACAAGATCTCTATCAAGCATTCTTACAACTACAATACCCACCTGCTGAAGTGAAGAAACAAATTGTCAGAGCCAGAAGAGTACCCAGAAGTCACCTACTACAGGACAGGCCCAACAAAGAAAATAACAGAACACCACTAGCTATCACCTTCAGCCCCCAACTAAAACCTCTCCAACGCATCATCAAGGATCTACAACCTATCCTGAAGGACGACCCATCACTCTCACAGACCTTGGGAGACAGGCCAGTCCTTGCTTACGGACAGCCCCAACCTGAAGCAAATACTCACCAGCAACCACACAACAGAACCACTAACCCAGGAACCTATCCTTGCAACAAAGCTCGTTGCAACTGTGCCCACATATCTATTCAGTGGACACCATCATAGGGCCTAATCGCATCAGCCACACTATCAGAGGCTCGTTCACCTGCACATCTGCCAATGTGATATATGACCTCATGTGCCAGCAATGCCCCTCTGCCATGTACATTGGCCAAACTGGACAGTCTCTACATAAAAGAATAAATGGACACAAATCAGACGTCAAGAATTATAACATTCAAAAACCAGTCGGAGAACACTTCAAACTCTTTGGTCACTCGATTACAGACCTAAAAGTTGCAATTCTTCAACAAAAAAACTTCAGAAACAGACTCCAACGAGAGACTGCTGAATTGGAATTAATTTGCAAACTGGATACAATTAACTTAGGCTTGAATAGAGACTGGGAGTGGATGGGTCATTACACAAAGTAAAACTATTTCCCCATGTTTATTTCCCGCACCCCCCCACACCGTTCCTCAGACGTTCTTGTCAACTGCTGGAAATGGCCCACCTTGATTATCACTACAAGAAGTCCACCCCCCCGCTGGTAATAGCTCCCCTTAAGTGATCACTCGTTTATTACAGTGTGTATGGTAACACCCATTGTTTCATGTTCTCTATGTATATAAATCTCCGCACTGTATTTTCTACTGAATGTACCTGATGAAATGAGCTGTAGCTCACGAAAGCTTATGCTCAAATAAATTTGTTAGCCTCTCAGGTGCCACAAGTACTCCTTTTCTTTTTGTTAAATCCAGAGAACATACTCCAGGAACATGGTGTTGAAACATTCTTCAAAGCTCATATCTAGTGCCATTTGTGTTTTAAGTACAGGAGAACATGCCAAGTTATCTTCCTACCGCCCTCAATAGCCTTTGAATTGTAATCAACACATGCCTGTTTGAGTGAAAAGGCTCCTCACAATGGTATCTCAAAAGCTTTTCATGCGTCAGTACGTTTTTAAAAGGATGTACTAGGTACAGACTAAAGTCCTATTGTTCATTAGGAGGATTGTTGTACGTGTCTTTCATGCACTGCCTTTGTAAAATACCCCCTTGGGCCTCTTTTGAAATGCCAAGAACATATTTCTTTGATTTAAAAAGCCAACCCAAGACTGGACAAGAGATGAGGTTCTGCCAGTCAGCTCAGGTGTACGTGCATACAGAACTTGGAGAGGAGAAGTGAGATGTGCTCTCTCAAAAGAGTCAATTTCTGTGATTCAAGTACTTAAGACAGGCAACTGGAAGCACCTCAGAAATTCAACTCCAAATTCATTAATGCAAAAGAAACATACCTGATACACGAGTCATCCTAGTGGAAAAATAGCACTGCTCCAAGTCCTCAAAATGAGCTGTAAGCCTCTTCCGCCTTGATGCCAATGTGCTGTTATACCATGGCTGTTTTTTAGTCTGAGTGGAGAACAAGAAATACTTATTTACCAAAGAGGCCGAGGCCTGGCTTTACCTGTTTTGGTACATTTTACCAAATTGTATAGAGACATGCCCTTTTATTTTTAAGAGGTTATGAAACTGGAAAAAAGACCAAAGGCCTTTTTTCTACATTTATCTGCCTCTCGTCACATCTGGTTATTTTACTGACAAGAAAGTCAGTCACATACCTGTAATTCTTGTTTTCTGAAGGTAGTAATTATAATTGGATAATCACTTCATCGCATGCTCATGAAAGCTTATGCTCAAATAAATGTGGCACCTTAGAGACTAACACAAAGTCCTCCTTTTCTTTTTGCGAATACAGACTAACACGGCTGCTACTCTGAAATCTGCTATATGAGTTGCATTCTCTTTACTTGATCTTATAAAAGATAAGCTTACATATAAAAAACTTCACCCCAGTATATCAGGGCACATAAAAAAGAACCAATATAGAAAATCAAACATACATGGGCAGGGACAGTCTTTTTGTTCTGTTTGTACAAGGACTAGCACAACGGGGTCCTGGTCCATGACTGTGGCTCTTAGGCACTACAACAAGCCCTACTGGGTCATTAGCAGCAGCACCGGTGGTGCACAAAAAGGTTTATCACGTGACAATGCACAAGCCAAGTACGAAATCCTGGCTCCACTGAAGTCAATGGGAGCACGGCCACAAAGGTGCCAGGATTTCAGCCTAAGAAGTTAACACATTCAACATGCTTCTTGCTTTCATAATTAGCAATTTACTCTCAGTTCAGAAACAACAATAAGTCACTCTCACATTACAACCAGCAAGAAGCCAACAAGGATGTAATAAAATTGAAATTAAAGGAATACACCTTATGAAGAGTACACTGTATGAACAAGTAACCTGGAACAAAACAAGGCAATGAAAACGTCAAGAACTACCCATCATGTACATTCCCTGACTGTATATTGACTGGATGAAACTTAAGTTCACAACTTCCATTTCATGCTGATTGCACATATCTTGTAGGTACTCATTTTATACCGACAGCAATCCAGCTTTATGCCAAATGCACCTGACATTAAGCATCTCTGCTTCACTGCAGTTTTGACAATGAACTACACATGACAACTTTACAAATATTGAACGGGACATGCTAATACCATCTTTATGTTAATTACATGAACCAGGCTGCAACTGCTTTAGCCTCAGCAAATTGTGCCTACCATACTGCAAATGACTCAGGTTCAAGATGACTGCAAACAGCAATGAGCAATCACTTCATTTCAACTTGACAACTGCCTGGAACAGGATGAGTAATATAACCTAAACCTGAATCTTCTAGGTGGTTCCAGTCTGTACTAAGATGAAATCAATCACATGCTAAGTAGTTAATATGATTAGCAAAGCTATAACTAGATCTTAAGAGCCAAATTCCACTCCAATAGATCTCAGACTGGCAAACTGAGTTGTACTGGGAATCAGTCTGCATTAACCTGCCTTGATCAGCTAAATGCTCAACTGTGCCTACTTTAATGAAACACCAATCAAGCTTCTAGGCACAGGACCGGTGCAAGGAGGTTTCAAGCCCCAGATGAAAACTTCCACCTTGCCGGCCCCACCCCCACCGGCAGCTCCCCACCGTCCCGTCCCCTCCCCTCGGCCAGCCAGCCCCCCCACCCCCCCCGGGGCAGCAGCTCCCCACCACCCCCTCCCTTCGGCACAGGCAGCCCCCCCAACGGCAGCTCCCCGTCCCAGCTCACCTCTGCTCTGCCTCCTCCCCGAGCATGCCGCCGCTTCTCCCACCTCTCAGGCACGCAAGTCTGGGAAGGAGAGAAGCAGAGCGGAGCGATGCTCAGGGGAGGAGGCAGAGCAGAAGTGAGCTGGGGCGGGGAGTGGTTCCCCTGTGCACCGCCCCCCTGCCCCAGCTTACCTCCTCTCCACTGCCGCCCCTCACCACTTGGTGCCCTAGGTGACCGCCTAGTTCGCCTAGTGGTTGCACCGGCCCTATCTAGGTGTAAGGGGACTGTTGCCCCCTTACTATCATTCAGTGGGAGTGTTTTAGTTGCTAGCTCCCAGTACTAAAAAGGGGGAAGGGTCGATGGGGAATCAGGACCCTGAGACTGACAGCCCCCAGGAACAATGGGGAGAGGCCAATGCTCCAGGTCAACCTGAATGACAGGGCGGGCAGGTTAATCAGGGAGTCAGGAGGCCAGGGAGGTCCCGTCCTCTGTGTGAGCTGAATTTGCCTGGGTCAGACAGAGTGGGGCCGAGCTAAGGAGAAAGCAGGGGCCCAAGCTAAGCTGGGGAGTAGAGCTGTGCCAGATCCAGAGGGACCAGAAAAGCAGCCCAGACAGAACAGACTCTGTCCTGGGAGCAGAGCTGCAGCCCCAAAGCCAGAGGCACAGCCCAGAGAGAGCAGACTTGCCCTGGGAGCAGAGCTGCAGCAACCAGAGCCAGAGGGGCCAGAAAAGCAGGCCACGAAGCAGGCCAGTGCTGGGAGCAGAGTCACAGAAGCAGCCTGCAGAGCAGAACTGTCCTGGGAACAGAGCTGTAGCAACCAGAGCCAGAGGGGCCAAAGAAGCAGCCCAGGGAGCTGGAGGCAGAGCAGCAGCAGCGCAGAGACAGAGTGGTGGAGCTGGGGCTGGAGCAGTCTGGAGCTGGGTGTGGTGAGCAGCTGGGGAGACTGAGGGGGACCCTGGCAGCAGGCCCAGCACAAGGAGACACTTCAGCCAAGAGACTCTGCAGGCCAGGCTTGGATCGTAACCCCGACAGAGCGGGGGCAACACTGGGAAGAAGGGTCCTACCACTTAGAGCCTGACAGCGTGTGGCCACCACCAGAGCCAGTGTCCAACCCACAGCATCCCTGCAGCACAGCCGGGGCCTGAGAAGAAGGCCTGGGACTTACAAGGAACAGACTGTGAACTGCCCAGACATTCCAGGGACACTGTTTGTGATGTTCCCTGCCACAGAGCGAGTTGATGTGTTTCCTTTAACTGTTCCCATTTTTCCTTATTCTTTTTAAAAGAAATTGTTGATTAAATAACTTGCATTTGCTTTAAATTGTATGTAATGGTCAGTGGGTCAGAGAAGTGCCTAGTGCAGAGAGAGTACCCCAGAGTGGGGACACCCTCGCCCCTGTCCTAGGTGACCACAGCAGGGTTGGGGGGTCGAGCCCCCCAGGAATCCCAGGCCCAGCCTTGTTGGGGTTACGAGGACTCTGCCAGACAGGAGAGCGGAAGGGGAGTCCTCAAGGGCAGGGAGGCCACTGGGTAAAGGAAGTGGGAACGAGGACTCAGATCCTTTCGCTAGCCCACTTCACCGGGGTAGTGCAGAAGCCAGGAAAGTTCCCCACAATAGCGGGACTATTCACCCGCTTACATAGGCAAGAAAGTCTGCTCCTTGACTACTCAATCAGTTGCTAAGTTACACTGGGAGAGGCAAGAGAGGGAGAGACAAGCAAGCAGCTGGCACAAGAGGGGAAAAAAGCAAAATCTTGCTTCTTCCTACCAAGGAAGAAAAGGTTTAGGGGGAATGCTCTGAGACCAAAGGGCCAAACACAACGAGGAGATGTTGAACGCAACTCTTACCGCTACGGGGAACTGTGCTGTACGGGAGCCATTAGGGGGAGAAGCAACCTGTGTTTTGGGACCACGGCTTAGAGCCTGTATTTCTCTTTACTTTGGGACCCGATTGAAGAACGCCAGCTAAACATAGTTTGAGGTCGGACTGGCTAAAGCCCTGCTAGGGTTTGTTGGAGCCTTAGGGCAGTGGTTCTCAACCAGAGGTACATGTACCCCTGGGGGCACACAGATGTCTTCCATGGGGTACATAAACTCATCTAGATATTTGCCTAGTTTTACAACAGGCTACATAAAAGACACTAGCAAAGTCAGTGTATGAATTTTTAATTTGCAAATAATGACTTGTTTATACTGCCCTATATACACTATACACTGAAATGCAAGTACAATATTTATATTCCAATTGTTTTATTTTATAATATGGTAAAAATGAGAAAGTAAGCAATTTTTCAGTAATAGTGTGCTGTGATACTTATGTCTGATTTTGTAAGCAAGTAGGTTTTAAGTGAGGTGAAACTTGGGGTACTCAGGACAAAGACTCCTGAAAGGGATACAGGAGTTTGGAAAGGTTGATAACCACTGCCTTACAGGAAGACTTTTCTTCTCTATAATAAAGCCCGTGCAGGTGTTTTGCACTTTATTAGGCTGCTTACTAAGTTATGAAAACTAAGGAACCATTTAGGATCCTCTAGAATCACAGAATCTCAGGGTTGGAAGGGACCTCAGGAGGTCATCTAGTCCAATCCCCTGCTCAAAGCAGGACCAATCCCCAATTAAATCATCCCAGCCAGGGATTTGTCAAGCCTGACCTTAAAAACTTCTAAGGAAGGAGATTCCACCACCTCCCTAGGTAACGCATTCCAGTGTTTCACCACCCTCCTAGTGAAAAAGTTTTTCCTAATATCCAACCTAAACTTCCCCCACTGCAACTTGAGACCATTACTCCTCGATCTGTCATCAGCTACCACTGAGACCAGTCTAGATCCATCCTCTTTGGAGCCCCCTTTCAGGTAGTTGAAAGCAGCTATCAAATCCCCCCTCATTCTTCTCTTCTGCAGACTAAACAATCCCAGTTCCCTCAGCCTCTCCTCATAACTCATGTGTTTCAGTCCCCTAATCATTTTTGTTGCCCTCCGCGGGACGTTTTCCAATTTTTTCCACATCCTTCTTGTAGTGTGGGGCCCAAAACTGGGCACAGTACTCCAGATGAGGCCTCACCAATGTCGAGTAGAGGGGAACGATCACGTCCCTCGATCTGCTGGCAATGCCCCTACATATAAATCCCAAAATGCCATTGGCCTTCTTGGCAACAAGGGCACACTGCTGACTCATATCCAGCTTCTCGTCCACTGTCACCCCTAGGTCCTTTTCTGCAGAACTGCTGCCGAGCCATTCGGTCCCTAGTCTGTAGCGGTGCATGGGAT